ATCACTGATGGTTTTCTTCGCAAATAATTAAATAGATTTATATGCCCTCCCTGTAGGAACAAGAATTCCATCACCACCTCCTGAATTTCTGAGCTATCGAATATTTGATGAGTGCTTAGGGAATCAGTATTGTGTCTTTTCACAGCAGTAATCAAGGAGTGAAGTATTCTCTGATGTAATGAATCTACTGCAGGCCCAAAAGATGAGTATTTCAAATGCAAAAGCACTATGTTTGTTTTGAACACATTTAAGTTTGGCTTTAATAAAGCAAGTAGTGAAGTGTGCAATGAATTATATTGTTAGATGGTTAAAACAGAGCCGTGCAGTATGTCTGAATGCATTTAATCCAAGTAATTACTCATTTTAAATGTGACTTGTAAATACGTATTACAAGTATGTATACGAATGGATGACTCAGAAACCAGTGCGAGATCTAGGCCTTCCCTTCCACTCCTGGCTTGCTTCAAAGCCGTCTCAGCCTGACAATTAACCAAGCCCCGGAGTCAGAATATCATTAAGTACAAGTTGAACCTTATGCGGGCTGAAATTAAGCACGTGCACCAACTATTCAAGTTAGGATCATTTAAATTGAGACTGAAGTGCCCTGCTGGACTGGGACCTGCTATGTGTGTCAGCAGATCCGTGGATCTCAATGCGCAGCCGTAAGTAGCTTTTAAGAGGTTCACAGAACAGTGAACCCCTGCAGATGGGTCCCATCACTGTGGTGTTACCATTTCTGCAAATCCAGAAGCCTTTACTGCAGACCGAGGAGACTGTTGGCGGGAGGTAATGTATGTGAAGTTACACATCTTCCATTAGCACTAGTTGCACTTTGAGAAAACCAAGTAACCCCAGTACTGACAGGAATGGTCATACTGTTTTGTCCTGAAAAACTTGCCAGGAGGCAAAGTGAAATCATTGGCATTATCTCATTTGTCTCCAGAAGGTTTGGATTTTTGCTAAAATAACAAGTGAGTTCTCTTTAACAACAAAAAAACAAGAGCTTTTTGACTCACATTGCTGTTTAACATCCTGACTCACTCTCCCTCTTGAAACATACTGACTTTTTCTCATAGACATTCCCACTTTAAGAAAAAAAAGCTGGTTTTCCCACTGATTCGCCTACCCTCAATGGGCTTTAATACTTAACACCAGCAGGCTGGAGTTCCCTTCTTCCCTTTTCAGCTTGTTCCAGCTGAATAGCTTTTAAAATAATTTGAACTAAAAAGATCAGAGGTTCCAGAGTCACTTTGCTCCCCTATTACACTCACTAGCCTCAGTGAGGATGAGAGAGGATCTTGAAGTAAACACCACAGCATGGTGCAAGGTTTTGTTTGTTTACTGTTTGGTTTTTGTACAGTGAAGCACCTCATTCTGCCCCAAATACACAGCTACAGAAGAAAAGTCTACAAGAATTTTCAGCACAGGTAAACCATCTGTCACTTTGCTATTTCCTGCACTCCCCTGTACGTACAATAGTCCCCAGCACGATGCCTGAAGTGATGCTGCGGCCAGAGAAGAGAACAAGTATTATGGGACCCTTTTCTGCAACATATCTTTTCAATGTACAACTTGTAGCCCGATGCAAAAACCAGCTTGCAGAGCCCAGTTAGAGATTTCAGGCCGGCTCATCTCATTAGCAAATTGAAAATACCTACTACAGAGTCCCCACAGCGCTATTTTATGTGAGACCCTCTGAGGGGCTATCCACAATGAAACACAGAGACGATCAATTATAGCAGTTTTTGTATGCAAGACTTGTTTCCTGAGTTTAACTAGTAATATTTTTTTTATTATTTGTCAGGTCAACTGACCTGCAGCATGCAAACAGAAATAGAATTTATCAGCAGAATTTATAACGAAAGCAATGAGAAAAGCATAGAATTAATTAGCAATTACAACAAAATTCCAAGTGCTTCAATTATCCAAGTTCAGAACCAATGTACTCTACCTGGAAATTGCCCCTGAAACAGTGAATTCAATAAGGAAAATTCTTACATAGTCCAAGTTAAATTATTTAAAAAAGGAGGAAAGAGGGTTCTTAATTATTTAATGTTTCACCAATAATTATATAGTTCAGTATAATGTTCACTCACTGGAGAATCTGATTTTCAAAGGAACATTTGTGAACATCAGTCAAACAAAAAACACCTGCCAGATGATAAACTCAGTCAGTGCAGTACATGTTCATTCCAACACAGCATTAACGCATTAGCAAAAATCCAAGTCTTGACTTAATGGCAAACCTATCAAATAATTTCTGTGTTAAAATATTTACATAGAAAAGCATGCACAATTCTGTTTTCTAATGTATTTGTGAAAAAGAGTATGACCTCTGTTGCTACAATTTCTAAAGCTGTGTTCTAGCTAAATGAGTTAGAGATGGGACTACAGCTCTGGAAAATAGCAAACTATAAAATTAGTACTGAAATAGCCGAAGCTGCCAATCAAAGTGTGGCCATGCACATCTTAGGGACATTTAATTCAGGAGTTACTAAGAATTAGTTTTAAAAGACAGCTTTTAAATTAGTTGCATGAAATACTAGCCATGGTAAGCTTATCCGCACGGTGGTCCTGGGGAGCAAGGCTAAAGGAACACCAAGTATTTCTGCACAAAACCGTCTGTAAAGGTTTTTCCAAGTCACGGTTCACCAGCTCCAGCACACAACACACAGTTGAGGGAACTAAAATGGCACCTTGGTCAAACGCACTATGGATCTGCCACGGATTATCACCCTATGTACAAAATCTCAAGCTCTATGGGACAAACTCTGGAAAACTCTCATGATGGGCAAAACAGCAGTTGCCACACTGAAGTCCTTAGAGTTTACTTACACGGGCCAGAATTCAGCACATGCCCTTCCAGAATGGAGACTTGGGGCACTACAAATCTTCCTGGCAGCTTTCCGTCTTGGAGCAGAGCTACCCAGAAGGAAGACCTGATATACTCAGGAGTTTAACGGCACGCCACTGATTTATCATTTCAACCCAAAGGCAAGGAAAAAAAAAAAAAAAAGAATCCATTTCCTTGCAGCTGCAACACAGGTTGTCCCTGGGTCACTTTGCCAAAGAATTACCTTACCCCAACTCTCTGGAAGAGATCAGAGACTGTTTATCAGTAATGGCTTCAGATTTCATGGCTCCTGGAGCAGAGGAGCCCAGCTGCACCATCATCCAGACTTTACAGCCTAATGTCCTGTGGCCTGCAGGGCTAGAAATGATGAAAAGTATAGATTTCTGCTTCCCTGAGGGGACTGCAATATTCGATCGTGGTCTTAAAGAGCTTGAGGTCTCTTACAATCAAAGATGGCTTTTTAAACAGCATTACAGACTATTTTAGGTTATTTTTAGTGAGTTTAATGGCTCCCTTGGAATCGTGCAAAGTGGGACTTGCAGTAAGCGCAGCACCTGGCTTTGCAGGTGGGGAATACAAAACACAGCCCTACTACAATTTTAAGATCCTCTAAAAACAGGGTTTATAGAATAAATGTCATATACAGACTAGAAAATGGTGTGACATGGGGCAGTGCTTCACATAGCTTATGTGAAGCACATCAGGGTAAATTAGCAATTAAATTCCAGACAGACGATGCCACAACCATGTATTGCACACCATGGCATAACACATGCTCCTTCTGACATGGCACACACATAATGTGCAGCTCTTCACTGTGGTATAAAATCAAGGAACAGTGCCTTTGGTTGTTCTGTTTCTAAACTTCTGTCTTGAAAGGCCAAATTCAATTTGCCCAATGCTTCCCACCGCACATCAAGATTAGGAAGTCTGGGGAATCATCCTGCTATGCCACTGCAAATTATCGCAGCTCCACCAACTCTACCCTAACATGAAACGCCACAGAAGCGCTCAGAATTCAACAGTGATGAATTTAACATGTCTACTTCCAGTAGCCTGATGTCAGCAGAGTTACAGCAATTTATGCAATACAAGGATCTGTCCTTTTCTCCTTATCAAAGCATTTGATCAAACTCAGTGACATGGAAAAAGACAACCTTACTTAATTTGAGCAGGAGAGTCAAGCTTGTCACTCTAACATCATAAGAAAACGGGAGGTATTTACATATGGGTACTTGCATATTCTTTTTTATCTGGCTTCACAAAGATAACAGTAAGAATGTTTTCTTCCACAGTAAGAACTAGTGTGAAACCTCACAGAGGACCAGCATTTTCCCTTGCTCTTCCCTCCCTCCTTTCCTCTCTTTTGAAAAAGCAACACCTTGAGATATTTCAAATCTTCATTAGCCACTTCCCTGCCTGTGACAGCCTGGTGGTATGGAGTTACTCCAACTCCCTCCATTCAATTCACCCTCAAGTCAGAAAGGAAAAACTCCACTTCCGATGCAACGTGACAAAAAGCCCACATCACCAAACACCATTGCCAAGTGGCTTGACCTGCCAGACACCGCAACCAGCAGTCTCTACCCCATGCTGCAGTTCTCGAGCATGTCGAACCAACAAATGAGCTAACTGAGCAGTCACGCTCTTGAAGATGCATTTTAAAAAAGGGGATGCATAAATTCACTCGCTTGGAAACCTGGTCTGTTCAAGAACTTGTTACTATGACAATCTGCAAGAAGCTGCTACAGATAAGATTGATGAAACTTATTGATTAATTTTCTCTCAAGCTATGTTTGAATTTTAAGTTTTCTCTAAACAGAACCAGTTCGTGTTGGTTTGTTAGTATTCCAGGGACCGCAGCAATGTGCTTCAGCAGTGAACGAAGTTCCATGATAAATGTGTTTTCCAATATGCATCTGTAAAGTAGCTATAAAATCAGAACAATTCATGCAAAATTTTTCATTACGTTTTTAAATATACTTATTTACATTTTAAATCACACACAGACAATGTGAAATATCTTTCACTTAGACAGGTGGGAACAAGAAAACAGATGCATCCATTAAGCTTGAAACAATTCAATGAATTAAATAGTACTTGGTGAATGCTTTGGTTTATGGATATAGCCCTTGTTCAAACTTACTTGAAAAAACACGGCCATGGCTCCTACTACCCTGTTTTCTAGAACTGCTGTTCCAAAACTGTCAAAGTCATCAGGATTGTAGAAGTAGATCTGCATCTGTAAAAATTAAAAACAACACAATCACATTAGTGTTGATTCATACAGCTTTCAAATGAGGTAATGCATACAAGTTGTACGTAAACCCAGTGTTACGAACCTGAGATAAAGGGATTCTGCTGAACAATATTGTTTAACTAGCATCTTGATTAATAGCATGACTGCCCTACTGGGACAGTAACCAGGGAACAGTTGGTGCAATGCATTTTAATACCAAACTCAAGGATAAACACTATGGTCACTTTGTTTAGATGCTAAACTTTGTGCTTTCTGCCAGGATCTCTTCATTTCTTTGCTCATTGCAGGCTCATCTCCTGGCCTGTGCTAAACATATTTATCTCAAAAACCATAGAGAATTTTTGAAAAGGATTTCAACGTTTAGAGTTATTCCTTTACTCCTAAAGCAATTTGTAAGATAAAAGTGTGTCTCTGTAGCAATGCATTTTTATGAGCCTCTGATATTCAGGACTATCAGTTAGGGTCAGGCTTCTCCCTGACTTCAGTTAAATTTCATGACTTTTATTTCCAAAGCGTTAGTATTCGGCAAAAAGTATAAGACAAAACCAGAAATGTTGATGTCTTTTCAGGATGAGTACTAAATATTAATAACTAGGCAAACCCAAAGTGAAAGCAGGTGAGAACAATGATTACCTCCAAACAGCAAATGTCTGAGTTACACAAATATAAGAGGACCAAGAAATAGCTTCCTTCATACACTCTGCTCTTGAACAATTCCACTTCACTACACACATATGCCACAAATAAGGGCAACTCACAGAGGCCTGTGGGTGCTACCGCTCTTAATTTCCTGTATGGTTCTTGTTCCATTTACTGCATTAGCTGAGCTCCCACTTCTGCCAGCTGTCCTAACACACTGCTGTTTCTCCAGCAGTTGTTCAACCTCTCCATTCCCAAAGAAGCTCCTAGTGTTGGTCCATCTGCATCAGCCATGATTTGCTCCAAAGGACCTGGTTGATATCCAGAACACACAATGCTCCCTTCTCAACATTACACCACGCAGGTGTGTACATTTCCATAGAATAAATTCAGCACTGGTAACATTGGTTTTATGTGTGCTCTACACGTTACAAATCAAAACCACATGCCTGATGGTAACAGCCAAGCACAAGAACTAGACTTTGCAGTGGTTGCTCTTGTGGCCATTTCACAATCCATGGGGGCGAGACCACAGCAGAACGGTTGGCCAACGTGTACACTCACTCGTGCACATTGACTCCAGAAAAAAAAAAATCCGTTCCTGGCTATGAACCAGGAACGGACCCATCAGGCTTCTCTGCCACTGGCCTCTTGCTGAACCCGCACATTTGCTCCTGCTTCTCTCCTGCCCATCATCCATGACCTGGCCTGTTCAGGCTTTTCGCAGCATTACTAGGTGATAAGAAATAGCCACACAGTACATAGGTAAATGGAGATGTAAGGTCTAGCTGAGACTGTCCACGTCTCCTGACACACAGCCGGTCTGACCGTCGCTCCCCCCTGCAAGTCTGCAGACAGATGCTCTGCTGGCACCAGTAACTTGATCAGGGCTGTTTGGGTTTTTCCAAGATAGTGCTCCATGACAAATCTGACCGTATTCACAAATGCAAGTGGTTTTCCCATATTCTGAAATTTTGGATGGTGCCAGATGAGATGATACTCTTTTATCTTGCTCAGGTATGTTCCTGCTCGTATTTAGTGATTCCCAGGCTTCTGACTGTATATATTGGCTGTAATGTATAATACTGGCAAAGTACCTATACATCTAATAAAACATCACTATATAGAGAAAAGGCCAAGATGAAGATCAGTCTCTTCAGAGGCAGAAGTACTTTTTTCAGC